AAAAAATATTTTCAATTTTCAAACACTATAAAATTGTTTAAAGTCAAAATCCCAAAAGTTCCTTCCAATAGTTACAAAGAACAAATGCTCATTAAAATATGTGCTCTATTTAGCATTTGTGTCCTTCCAGTTACACCTGTGGTAAACTCTATTTCCAGAGAACAACCTATGCATGTAAGTTATTTAAGAGTATCTGGTAATAGCTATGAATTAGTACCTTATAAATAAGTGAGCAGTGTTTATTTCTGCTGTCATTGACTATTTTATAAAGATTACATGGGACTAGCTTGGGTGGCTGAGATAATCCTCTCCTGGGATTCACAAAGACTTATTCTTGCTGCTCACAGTGGACAGTACATCAGCCAGCACCATGTATCTTGTCACCTGAAAGTCACATGCTTACTTTATAATCTCTCTGAGTTGTCATACTGCTTTTAACTCGTTACTCCTAAATATGGTAAGACATGAAGTGGAATTGATACTTGTCATTTATTTTATTTGTATGTCCCTTAGATTACTAAATCTCCACAAATTAGAAAGCAAAGGTCACCATAAATTCGTAAAATAAGAGTGTTCTAAAATCAAGTTTTGAGATAACGAAAGAGTATAGTGAATTTTTCTTGGATGAATGTGGAGCTATGGAGAAAGCAGCTCTTGGTGTCTTTTGTTACAGGCCTCTTCAGACTGTGATCTCCACACTGCTTAGGTTTTTGGTCTTGGTCAATTTAATAGTGATGATTCTCTATTCTTTTGAATGTTTATGGACACACTTTGGGTTTCAGTTTTTACAACTAAATATTACAATTTGAATTAATGTGAAAGACCACAGTCTGTAATTACTTTTACAATGAAACAAAGAACTTTTCTGAGTGCTTCTCTATGTTAACAGCTCTGTATCCATGGTAGGTATGGTTCTTTTTTGTGAACCCGAAAGAAAAATGCCACTTAATTAGAATATGTGTTATTTTCTCTCTGTGATAAACATTTACAAAGTAATATATATATAAAGTACATATGATGGAACACATACCTTTGGGAAAATGAACACTTTTTATTAGTATATTTTAATTTATATTATCATATTTTGTATTGCTTATATTACCCATATTGTGTTAAACATAAGTTGTAGACATACAATTAATAAAAACATGGTATACATATATAGTTTGTGTATTTTCAATCTTTAAATATGAATAAGGTTAAGCTTCTTTCAATTTGAAGACTAGTCTTGAATTATATATATTATGCAGGAGCTTTTTAAATTATTAAAATATTTTATTTAGTTATTTTCGAAAGTTGGCCTCCTACCTGTTTACCCCACCCAAAGTTCTTCAACCCTTCACCTCACCTCTCAGAGGGTGCTAGCCTCACCTGCCCACCCTCCCCACATCATCTCCAACAGAATCCTTCTTACCTGGGGGAGGATTAAGTTTATCCTCAAAAACTGAGGTAATATAAGATAGTCCTCTGCTACATGTATCTGGGGCCACAAACAAGCCCATGTATGTTCTTTGGTTTTTGGCTTAGTCTCTGGGAGCTCTGAGTGATTTGGGTTAGTTGACACTGTTGTTCTTTCTGTGGGGTTGCAATCCCTTTCAGCTCATTAAGTCCTTCTTCTAATTCTTCCATATTGGTTACTGACCTCAATCAATTAGCTGTAAATATCTGCATTTGTCCTTGTCATTGTCAGTTGCTGATAGAGCCTCTAAGAGGACAGCAATGCCAGGCTCCTGTCTGCACGTACAATATGGCCACAATAAGAGTGTAAGGATTTGGTATGAGTGCATGGGATGAATCTCAAGTTGGACTAGTCACTGGGTGGCCTTTCAGTATCTGCTCCATTTTTGTCCCTGCATTTACTTTAGAAAGGAACAATTCTGTGTTAAAATTTTGAAGATGGGTATGTGGTCCCCTGACTTAATTGGGGACCATATCCATCTACTGAAGGTGGTCTCTTCCAGTTTCATATCCCCACTGTTGGGCATTTCAGCTAATGTCATCCCCATTGAATCCTGGTAGCCTCTAATATCCCAGGTCTCTGGCACTTCCTAGAGGTTTCCCCTGCTCCCTAATTCCCACTGCTACATATTTCAGTTCATTCTCCTAGCCCTCTTAGCATCCCTCCTATCTCTCCCCATACCTGCTCCTGCACCTTTCCCCATCCCCTTCCCCTCTCCCACCCAGTTTCCTCCCTCCCTCTGCCTCCCATGACTATTTTGTTCACCTTCTAAGTAGATTTAGGGTATCCACACTTGGACATTCTTTCCTGTTAAGCTTCATGCTATCTGTGAGTTATAGGTGTTCTGAACATTTTGGCTAATACCCACTTGTCAGTGATAACATGCCATGCATGTTCTTTTTGATCTGGGATACCTCACTCAGGATAATATTTTCTACTTCTATCAATTTGCCTGCAAAACTTATGATCTCCTCATTTTTAATGGCCAAATAGTATTCCATTGTAAAAGTGAACCACATTTTCTATATTCATGATTCACTTGAGGGACATCTGGATTGTTTCTAGTTCCTGGCTATTATAAATAATGTGGCTATAAACATGGGGTAACACATGTCTTTGTGGTATAGTGGAATATCTTTTGGGTATATTTTCAGGAGTAGTATAGATGGGCCTTTAGGTATAGCTATTTCCAATTTTCTGAGGAACCACCAGATTGATGTCCCGAGTGGTTGTACCAGTTTGCAATCCTACCAGCAATGGAGGAGGGTTCCTCTTTCTCCATATCCTCAGAATCAATTACTGTCACTTGGGTTTTTATTTGTTTAAGATTTATTGATTTTATGTTACATATATGAGTGTTTTGTTTGCATCCATGTCTATGTTCTACTGGCATGCCATGTCAGAGAGAGAACTGGATCTCCAAGAACTAGAGTTACATTTGGTCATGAGCCACCATGTCATTGTTTGATCCATCTCACCAGCCTTAAGACTAAAGCTTTTAGTAAAAAAAAGAACATCACTGTTCAGGTGCTATAAATGTATGTTCATAAAAGTAGGTGTTTGGCTCTGGCAATAAGAGTAAATCCATTCCTTTTCCTGACTAAGAATTTTAGAAGCGAGCTGGAGAGATGGCTCAGTGGTTAAGAGTACTGACCGCTCTTCCAGAGGTCCTGAGTTCAATTCCCAGCACCCACATGGTGGCTCACAACCATCTATAATGAGATCTGATGCCCTCTTCTGCTGTATTTGAATACAGCTATAGTGTACTCATATAAATAAAATAAATAAGTCTTTAAAAAAAAAGAATTTTAGAAGCAAAAAATCATAGAAATAGAAAATGTATTATTTATCATGCAATATTCATGGCGATGTTATTGGATGCTTTCTTCTACTATGTTCTACATTACTTCTATAATACAAACATGCACACATCTATATATGTGAAATATATAAGTGAACTTAGAAATATAATTGGTCACACGTTTTTTTCACAAGAATCTGAAATAGTCATTTTTCTTTGTTTATCCCAAAGCTATTTTAAAGTACTGAATTGGATTAATTCAGTAAAAAATTGATCCTGGTAAGTGTCAACTAAGTTACATATGCACCAAAGGTAAGACTGTTGAGTAAAACTGTAAAGAATGTCGGGTGATGGTGATGTAGGATAACAGTTGGGACCTTGTTTTCTACTGCATGGGCAAGAATCTCTTTTAAACAGAAATTTCCAGCAGCATCACTATATAGTCATCTTTACCAAGTTCGTGTTTGTCATAATGTTTAGAAAATAATGCTTTTCTTAATGTCACATATTAACTCCTTTAGGAGGCTGCAGGCTCCATATCTTTAGATGTGAGTATGTAGACTGTGGTAACTACTGAAACCAGGAAAGAAAGGCTTGAACATAGCCAGTATGGGATGGGGGTTGGGATTGAAAGAGAGGAGTATAGCAGAGTAGGGTTGGTTTCATTAGAGAAATGGGAAGACAAGGTTCCTTATTGAGGAGAAGGGAGGTAAATATGGAGATCAGAGGAAGGTAAAGGAGAGTAATAAGACACAATTTGTCATAGAGTGAAATTGGAAAATTTGTGGACTTATAGATAAGAGGGATGGAGACAAATACAGATATGGCAATAGTTATGAAAATAAACATATGAATGGCTCTAAAGGCCATGAGGAATCATACAGTTAATGTTTTATATCTCTCCCCTACCAAAAACAAAAACAAAAAACAAAAAATAGTGTTTGTGTTGATGGCTAGAAGGTAGTTGCTTAATACTGAATTGGAGTTCACAAAGGGTTCAAATGGATGGGAACTGAACTAGAAGCCATTGATGGCCATTTATAACCTTGACAGCAATACAATTAATCAGGTTCAGAAAGAAAATTAATGATCTCCTTATTTCTAGATTGTGGGAATGTATGATTTCATAAAAAACATATAAAACAAATTGAGATAGATATACTGCAGATTAAAATAGGGAGATTATCATGAAATACAACTTTGATTCCACTAGAACAATTAGTTAAAACATTGATAGTTAAAAAAAGAGCATAACAAATTTATGGATCATGAGAAAGATTCACATGATTTTTTTTTTTAGTATCTTTTGTGATTTTTTTTCCAGACTGCCATATGTTTTGTGCAGTTGTATAATTTTGATTAATATTCTGTCCTCCTGACTTCTGTTTTAGGTGTTAAATATAAAATGAGAAAACTTATATTAATAGGATTATATTTCTAAGGCATTAGTATAAGGTGCATCAGACGAATAAATTTTCTATTATATATAGATATGTGTGTGTGAATTTATTATCTGTAATATCATATATATATTTATGTATATATATATGAGATACACAGAAGGCATATAGAAATGTAGGCTGTAATGCACACTCTGGAACATCAAAAGTTAAAGAGAGAACTTAAGGAAACTTAGTATAGAAAATATAAGGATGATATAAATTACTGTCCAGTAAATCATATGTTTCATGTGCTCTCTTTTTTCAGATATAAGATTTATGTTTCTGCTATGCTCTTAAGATGAGTTCATCTTCCTTTACATCTTCATTAGAGAATATCCTTTATTTCCAAGCTGGGCTTGGAGTCCTAGACAATATGTTTCTTCTTGTTATCTATATTTTCATAATCCTTGTTCATAGATATAAATCCATGGACCTGATCTCTTGTCAACTGAACTTTGTTCACATGATGATGTTCCTTGCTGGAGAGAATTTTTGGCTTGCAGATATATTTGAATCACTTAATATTGAGAATGACTTCAAATGTAAGGCAACATTTTACACAAAGAGAGTGATGAGAGGCCTCTCTATTTGCATCACCTGCCTCCTGAGTGTGTTCCAGGCTGTCACTATCTGTCCCAGTAGCTCTTTGTTGGCAAAATTTAAACATAAACTCAAAAAGGTCATGATCAATGCTTTATTTTTTATTTGGTCTTTCAATTTGCTCTTCAGTAGTAACCTGATCTTCTATGTTGGTGGTTTTAATAATGTGAGTGAAATCAAGCAGTTGAAGGTCACTAAATCCTGCTCACTCTTCCCCGTGAACTACTTAACCAGGGGTTTGATTTTAACAGTGACAACCTCCAGGGATGTGTTTCTTGTAGCAGTAATGCTTACTACAAGTGCATATATGGTGATTCTCTTGTGCAAACATCAGAGGCAATGCAAGCAACTTCATAGCATCAGTCACCTGAGAGCATCACCTGAGAAAAGAGCCACTAAGACCATCTTACTGCTGGTAGTTTTTTTTGTGGTCATGTACTGGGTGGACTTTATCATCTCAATCACCACAGACATGTTATGGATGTATGACTCACTCATCAGAATTGTTCAGAAGTTTGTGGTGAATGCTTATCCCACAATTACTCCTTTCATACAAATCAGTTCTGATAGAAGAATTGTCGATGTGGTGAAAAAGTTGCAGGCTTAGTGCTACTAAATATTTTTAAAAACATTATTATTTGTTTCCTTTGGAAAACCTATTCATTAATTTTATTTATATGTACACTGTGCTTGTAGCATCTATGCCTAATTGTATTCTTGGTGTTCACAGAGGTCAGAAGAGGACATGGGTCTCCCTTGAACTGCTGATTTGGATGACTGTATGCCTCGTGCTGATGTAGTCCCATTAATTATATTTTTCCTTTATTTTTGTATTTTTAAAATTTTATGTCCTTATTTATATCCCAAATGGTGTGCAATCCCCCACTTTCTCCTTCACAGATTCTCTGTTCCACCCTCTCCTCTTCTTATCTGAGATTGTGGGGGGGCATAGGTGCCTTTCTACCTTGGTACATCAAGTCTCTGTGGGCTTAGAAACATTTTCTCCCACTGAGGCAGCCTATGTTCTGGGAACACACAACCCATGTGTGCTCTTTTGTTGGTGACTTAATCTTTGAGAGCTGCAAAGTGTCCAGGTTAGTTGATTCTTTGTCTTCCTGTGGAGTTCTTGTCCCCTTCACTGGCTTCAATCCTTCTCCCAACTTTGCCAAAAGTCTCCATTATCAGTTCGATGTTTAGCTGTGGTATCTGCATCTACTTCTGTCATCTGCTTGGTAGAGCCTCTCAGAGGACAGTTAAACTAGACTCTGTCTGCAAGGATAAGAAAGTGTCATTAATAGTTTCCGGGATTGTTCTGTATTTTTAATATTTTAAACTGCAGATTCAACTTCAGTGTCAGCCACATAAGTTTAAAAAAGCAAAACCTTTTTTTAAAATGGTTCTAACAAGTTAGAACAAAATGGAGTAGTCTTCCTGTCTTCAATATTTTCCTTGTTAATATACGAGAGCTATCAGGATACCCAAAGTAATTTTTAACTAGGTTATATCACAAGAATTTTTCATACTTATCAACTATCATCATATTTGGTACTAGTAGGGTGTCTAACTTCACTCAAACACATTTCATCTACTGGTGAGCATTTCCTGTTTCCATTACTGTACTTTTATGTGGAAGTAAGTTTTTCTAACTAATCTCACATTTCTGTTATGATAATTTTGGGGTGAAATTTCTATCTATCTATCTATCTATCTATCTATCTATCTATCTATCTATCTAATTATTTACATCCAAATGTTTCTCCCTCCCTATTCTCTCCTCACAGAGTCCTTTCCTTCATCCTTATTTCCCTTCATTTGTTGGGCCAGTTATTGATTGGCCATTCTGCCAGTCTCTGTTCCATTTTTGTCCCTGCATTTCTTTTAGATGAGACAAATTTGAGGTTGAAAGTTTTGGGGGATGGGTTGGTCTCCTTATCCCTCCTCTGGAGGTGGTTGCCTATTCAGGTTCTATGTTAACACTATTGGGCACCTCAGCTAAAGTTAGCCACATTGACTCCTGGGAGCCTTCCCCATCCTAGGTCTCAGGGACAGCCTATAGATTCATATTCTTAAACTCTTCTGTTCAATAAAAGAACTTCTAGAGGTATCATCATCAATAATTTCAAGCAGTTCTATGGAAAAGCACATGCCATTGGTATAGAAACAGACAAATTAGTCAATGGATTCAAATAAGTTAGTCAATGGATCCTGAAATAAACTCACACACCTATGGACACTTTATTTTTGACAATGAAGCCAAAATCATACAATTAAAAAAAAAGAAACCGTCTTTAATAAATGTCAATGGTCTAACTCTGTGTCTACCTATGGATGAATGCAAATAGATCCATATTTATCACCTGGCAGAAAACTGAACTCCAAGTTCATAAAAGACTGCAACCTAAAACTGGATACTTTATATCTTAGAAGAAAATATGGGAAATAGCCTTGAACTCATTGATCCAGAATACAACTTTCTGAACAGAATCCCAATGGCTCAGATACTAAGATCAGCAATTAATAAATGGGGCCTCATGAAATTGAAATGCAAAGGGCAACATCAATAAGACAAAATGATAGCCTATAGATGGAAAAGAGATAGTCACCAACCCTTCATATGAAAAAGGGCTCATATCCATAATTTATAAAGAACTCAAGAAGTTAGACATCAACAAACCATGTAACCCAATTAAAAATGGGGAATAGAACTAAAGAGCAGGTGCTAAAGAGGAGAATATCAAATGTCCCAGACCACTTTAAGAAATATTCAGTGTCTTCAGTCATTAGATAAATGAAAATCAAAATGATTCTGAGATTCTATCTTATGACAACCAGAATGGCTATGATTAAAAACTCAAGTGACAGCATATGCTGTTGAGGATGTGGAAGAAGAGCAACACTTCTTCGTTGCTGGTGGGATTGCAACTGTTACAACCACTCTGGAAATCAATCTTGTGGTTCCTCAGAAAATTGGAAATAATTCTAACTTAAGACCCAGTTATATCACTCCTTGGCATATTCCCAAGGATGCTTCACCATACCACAAGGTTACATGCTCCACTATGTTCAGCAGCCTTATTTGTAATAGTCGGAGGCTGGAAACAAATCAGATGTCCTTAAACCGAAGAATGAGTATCGAAAATGCCATTCATTTACAAAATGGAATACTATTTAGCCATTAAAAACGATGACATCATGAATTTTGCAGACAAATGGATAGAACTAGAAGATATCATCCTAAATGTGGCAACCCAGATCCTAAAGGACATGAATGGTATGTACTCACTGATAAGTGAATATTAACCAAAAGGTACAAAATACCCAGGATACAACTAACAAGTTTAACAAGAAGGAAGGCCCAAGTAAGGATGCCTCAATCCCACTTAGAAGGGGAACAAAATAATCATGGGAGGCAGAGGGAAGGAGGGATCTTGTTGAGAAACAGGAGTGGGAGTGGAAAAAAGGAGCAGGATCGAGTATGGAGGTGACAAAAGAGAAGCCTAGAGGGCCAGGAGGATGAATGGAAATATTCAGGAGCATGGGGTGGGAGGTGAGGGGACCCTCTAGAAAGTCCCAGAGACCTGGGATGTGAAAGACTCCAAGAACTCAATGGAGGTGACCTTATCTGAAATGCCCAATGGTGGGGAGATGGAACATGAAGAACTCACCTCCAGTAGATAGACAGGGACCCCATAGAAAGGATGGAGTCACCAATGCACTCTTAAATTTTCTGACTCAGAATTGTTTCTCTCTAATAGAACTGCAGGAACAAAGTGAAGAAGAGACTAAAGGAAAAGCTGTCCAGTGACTGGTCCAACTTGTGATCCGTGTCATGGGCAGGTGTGGGACACCAAAGCATGACACTATGACGCAATGATGTGCATACAGAAGAAGCCTAGAATGTTTGCTCTCTGAGAAGTCTGACCAGCAGCTGACTGAGAGAGATGCAGATAGTTACACCCAATGATTTGATTGAATTTGAGGACCCCTATCAATGAATTAGGGGAATAATTGAAGAAACCGAAGGGTATGGAAACCTCATAGGAAGACCAGCAATCTCAATGCACCTGGATCCCTAGGAGCTTCAAGGGACTAAGTCCCCAGTCATGGATCACAAATGGATGGTCCATGTCTCATAGTACATGTGTAGCAGAGGACTGCCTTTCTGGCCTCAGTGGAAGAAGAGGATCCAAGTAAAGGGGATGCCCAGGGAGTGGAGGAGAGAGAGGTGGGTAACAGGAGGTGTACAACATCTGGAATGTAAATAAATGAAATATTTAATTAAAAAACCTAATAGTGCTGGCACTAAAGAAATGTTTCATTTGTTAAGAGTCTTGTTCTCTTCCACATAGGACACATAAGTTCATTTCTTAGCACACATTTTGGCAGCTTAAAAGAAGGGTTTTCCTGATAGATCTTTTATGATTATTCTCAAGAAGAACCTCTAAGCTTTTACTTGTATAAAGGTGTGTGTTTTGAGCTTTAGTAAATTTTCTTTTACAGATGTGGTTGCCTTTGCATTTGGGGTATATGTGTTCATAATTGAGAGTTCATCTTGATGGATTTTTCCTTTGATGAGCATGAAGTGACGTTCCCCATCTCTTTTGATAGCTTTTGGTTGAAAGTATATTTTATTGGATATCAGAATGGCTGCACAAGCTTGCTTAATAGGACCATTTGCTTGGAAATGTTTTTGTCCAGCCTTTTATTCTGAGGTAGAGTCTGTCATTGTCATTGACGTGTGTTTCCTGTATTCAGCCAAATGCTGGACCTGTTTAAGTATCCAGTATGTTAGCTTGTGTCTTTTTGTTGAAGAATTGTGTTGAGTGGTACTGAGAGACATTAAAGAACAGTGATTGTTAGTTTCAGTTAATTTTGTTGTTGGTGGTGGTATTATGTGTATGTAATTCTCTTCTTTTGGGTTTCTCATGAGATGATTAATTTCTTATGTTTACTTGGGTGTAATTGCCCTCATAGTGTTAGAGTTTTCCTTCTATTATCTTCCATAGGACTGTACAGTAGAAAGATATTGTTTAAATTTGGTCTTGTCATGGAATATCCTGTTTTTTTCCATATATGCTGTTTGTATACTAATCTTGGACTGCAATTTGTGTTTTCTTAGGGTCTGGATGACATCTGTCCAGTATCTTCTGGCTCTGTTTTGAAATCTGGTATAATTCTGATATGTATGACTTTATACAATACTTGGCCCTTTTGCTTTACAGCTTTTAATATTTTTTCTTTGTTCTGTGCACTTAGTGTTTTAATTATTTTGTGATGGGAGGATTTTATTTTCTGGTCTGATCTAATTGATGTTCTGTAGGCTTCTTGTGTTTATGGCCATCTTTTTCTTTAGGTTAGGGAAGTTTTCTTCTCTGATTTTGTTAAAGATGTTTACTGACACTTTGAACTGGTAATATTCACCCACTTCTATTCCTATTATTCTTTGGTCTTTTCATTGTGTCCTGAATTTCCTGGATGTTTTTGGCTTGGAGCTTTTCAACTTTGTATTTTTTTTTGATGGCTGTCAATATCTTTTATGGTATCTTCTGCACCTGAGATTCCCTTTTCCAACTCTTGTATTTTGTTGGTTTTGCTTCTACCTGTATC